GGGAAGAGAAGGGGAAGGAAAGAAAAGAAGAAAAAAAGGAAAAAAAAAAGAAGAAAACAAGAAAGCGAGCGAGGGACCGAGCCGAAAGAGCCCGGAGGACAACTGCGATCAAGAAACCAACCTGAGCTTGACCTTCAGAGACCAGGGTGACCCGGTGAGTCTCCGCTCTCCGCGGCGCGGGGGATGCGCGGGTGCGGCGGGGCTGCCTCCCTCTCTTCCTCCCGCTCCCCTCCCCTCACACACACACAAACACACTCGCACACGCACGCACATGGATGTGGCACAGGCGCCCCGTACACACGCCGCTTACACACACACCCGTGGATGTGCGTGCCTGAGCGCCCGCTGCACGCAGGCATGCGTGTCCCTTGGGGACAAGCAGGACCCGTCATGCTGGCCGGGGTAAATTGTGCCTGCCCCCGTGTCCGTGTCCCCCCGCTTTAAATTTTTCGAGGTGCCAAGGCGCCAAAGGCAGCGCGCCCACGGGAGCGGCGGGGCGCAGGTGCCGGAGCGCGGCCGCCGCGCTGCCTTTGCGGCCCCACATTGGTATGCAGGCGGTGGCTGCGCCGCCAGGCAGACCTAAAAGGTGAGCCCAGGGGATGGGAAAAGTCAATGCTTCATCAGTCCAGGGGCAAATCGGGAAGTTACAGAAAATGAAGGGAAGATGTCAGGTACCCGGCTAGTGCCAGCAGGCAGACTTCGGGGAGGCGATGTGAAGCAAGATGAGTTTCTCCTTTCTAGGGCCAGGTTGATGGAAAGAAGTGGGGGAGATGATGGAAAAATGTGCATGGGAAGTTCTGGATGGTAGCGCTCCGTGTCTGGTGCCACTGACGCTGCATTTCCTACGTGCTGCTCTCTGTAAAAGGGTTAACACTCAAAAGGGTTTACCACAAGCTGGACAATTTCAGAAAATGTTGATCAAAAGTACACAATTGGTGAACATGTACATGCTGACTTGTTGGGACACAAGAGGGGATGTATCCTGCCCAGCGTTTTTCCCACCTGAGAGAATTTGTTGTTGGCGATTTCTGCTCTTACTGTTTGGTTGTATTGAATACCCTGGGCTGAAGCAGAGACAGCAACACATTGTGTTTGACGTGGAAAAGACCTGCTGAAGGAAAATGGTCCCAAACACTTGGGCTGTAACTGTTTCTGTCCTTGGCAGACAAGCTGTCAGGGATAGGAGCAAACTCCAGCTGCGTGCGTTATCCCTGGCGGGATGTGTTCGGGTGCCGCAGGGTGTGGGTGCATGTACATCGTGGGGAGGAGGAGAAACATCAAATTCACGTTTCAAGCAGGGGAACAGGGACTCAGCCAACTGTGAAGTGTAATCGTGTGATTCGGGGTGATTTGACATTGAGTATTGGTGACTGAAAGCTCACCTTTGCAACAGGGGTCTGTACGTGGAGGAAACTGTTGGAAGGCGATTCTCTTGCCATTTTGGTTTGTGCTTCTGCTCAGACTGTATTTTGAAGGGCTTTTGACCCGACTAGTTGATCAAACATGACATTACCGTTAACACACGCTACTAATGTGATTATAACAGCAGTGACATCAATGTTTCCTTGCCCTGCAACTACAGTAGCAATGCATTTGTTTACTTCCCCCATGCACGCTCTGAAATGTCTGTTACTCAACAGCTCTGAGCAGCAAGAGAACAGGGAGGAGGAGGGGGAAACTTACAGACATTTAAAAATGGCTATAGCTCTGTTTCCCTTATCCATGTAATGATGTGGAAATAAAACAACCTCCAAGTCCTCTTCATCTTTCTTTTTTTTTTTCTTCCTCCAGTCAGTACACTTTTTTTTTTTTACCAAAGTGGCAAAAATCTCTTCACACTTTGACATGTCAGGTTGTGTCACATGTTCCCTTCCGAATTAACAGCAGTGCACACCTTCTGCCCCTCTCCCAGCTGGCAGGAGCTAGCGGGTGAGACAGTTATAAAGGCTTTGCCATTTAGTGTTAATTATTTCACAGTAAACCAAACTGTTATTTATAGAACTGGATGAACTGTGGCAAATTAATGTGGTTTTCAGAAATCTTTAAATATCAAGAGGTATGTGTGCGGGTGATTAAATATCTGAAGTGTTGATATGACCAAACATATTTTGTACTACCTATCATGACTGACATTAATCAACTTAATAATTGTAGAAACCATGAAACAGTCCCTTCAGTTATTGTCTGATCATTAGCATTCCCAGCTGGCTCATTATTCTTTTAGGCATATTGTTTTTAGGAGACAAGATGTAGAATTTTTTTAAATGCCTGATTTTATCCTAAATAAGGTGAATATATATGTATTTATATATAAATATGCATATAAGGTTTGCATACAATCAAATGGGTATTTTCAGCCTCACAGAACTGAAAAATAAGCAGAGGAATGAGTAGCAGTATTGAATTTGATTTGTACTTGTAGTCACAGATGTGTTGGCTTTAGTTCAATATTCTGTGTGTTCATTATTGTGTACTAGCAAATGTAAAACCCTAAAGATCTGAAACACACCTTTTCCTATTGCTGCAATGCCTCATAGAAGGGAATGATATCCTGGCCTTGCTCAGCTGTGTGTGGAATTTTGCAGTTGGTTTTGACAAAGTCAGAAATATATTGTCAGATTAGCATGTGAATTTGTAACAGCATAATGTTACCCAAGTTGAGAGAGATATTAAAACAGTAAAAAGGGTAGAATTGATTATCGTGGAATATGTAGAGACCTTATTTTTGTTATTGGTTACTTGTTTGCTCAGAAGTTTGGTGATAATTTTATTTCTCTTTTGGGTTTGTGCTCATGCCTCAACTCAACAATTTTCACCATCTTGCTCTCTTTTAATGTATGAGAGTATTTCAAAGGTCAACTCTGAAATATCCCCTGTGACTGAGATGCAGTGCACAGGTAGATACAGATCACCTGTAAGTGTTTTTTGCAGTAAGATAGGTTGTAACATAATGAGTAGCACTTTTGTTTAAAGCGAAGATAACTTGTTATTGTGTTTCTACTTAAGCCAAGAGAAATTTTTTACCCTATTGCAAAAATTAGCAATTTCATGGTCTGAAAGTATGTTTTTGGTCCATTTAATAGGCTGCTCAAAAACTGTGTTAAATGATATTTCAAATCTTTGCCTTTTTTTTTGTGTGGAAAAAGACTGTGAAGTTACCACTGCTTCATCCGCAGAAGTGTAATGAATTTTATGGATTAATTCCTACTGCAGGGTAGCATGCTTGTCATGGTCCTAGCAGTCTTGTCACATCAGACTTAAACATGCAGTATGTTTCTGGATAAGTCATTCTTTACCCAATTCCTAGTCAGGCAAATTCCCTGCAGATTTATTAAATATTTTCTGTGCGTGGCATGTAAGAAGAGTAACCAGGCAATAAAAATCACAGATTTTCTCATTTTCCGTTTTCTTCCCTATAAGATGGGTTAATAAGAATCAGTGTCTTCATGGTGTGCCCTCTGTGCATCTGACACCATTTCCCTAAAACAGGCTTAAAATGAGCATTGAAGATGATTCCAGCACAGGAGGGTCTCTGCAGAGATGAAAGGTTAGCCAAGGTCCAGGGATGGACAGTGATGCATCCTCGAGATGTCCTTGTGTCAAACAAGTGCTCAGATGGACTTTTTCCCCTCCAGATGAGTGTAAAGCAGGGAGCCTTCAAGCTGCTGTAAGGCAGGACATGTAGATCTGCCCTATGCAGCTCCAGCCCCATTTGTTGGAGGGCCCAGTCTAGGACAGATTTTCTACTGTCTGTTCTATGCAAGGCGATGATTTGGTAGTTGTTCCTTGCAGTCTTAAAATCTGTGAGCCTTAGGTTATTGGTAATGTGACAAGAACTTGGCCCAGTTTGTTTTTAAACAGCTCAGAGGTGGGATGGTTGGGATTAATTGTACAGCTGATGCCACCATTCTAACACTTGAAACTGGCAGGGCCCTTTAAATGACAAATTTGGGGGCAGTTTTAGGGAATACAGTGTCACTCTAACAAGTGTATTAAACCTGCAGCGTGAGCAGGCCATATCTTGCTTCTTGCTTGGCTGGAATAACAGTCTTGCATTGCTGGTGTTCATACAAACTCTGTGTGAGGAGTTATTGAAAAGGTGGTCTAAGGGAGTCGTGAAAA